CGGGTATTTTCCTCGGACGGGCACTATGGGCTGATAGTGTCTCTCCGCGGATGAACACTATCGCGTCACGTGATCAATTTAAACCAATAAGAATCGGAGTAAATATAGTGGTGAACTATAAGAGGTGATAGTTGATTCGGCCTTCGACCTCATCAACAATCACCTCATAGGAATCTCGAGCTCATACATAATCTAATTGCTAATTAGTGTAGAAAAATTACACGAATATAAGAGCCAAAGTTTTTGTTATTCTTTATGGGAGTTGCTGTACTAATCGTTATTATAATTTTTTTGAGAAAATGACCTCACTTACTCCAATTCTCAACCAAGACTTGGAACAAGGAAAGTTAATTGCGGCCGCAAATTCTGGGAAGTAAAGGTCCAAAAAACGTGAGTTCTGATGTTCGTAATAGATTGAAATTTGGCAACATAATTAGGAAAGACCTATTGAGTACGAAAATGGATATCGAGAATTTGATCATAGGGGCACTTTAATCTGCTGTGTGTATTTCAACAGATCTTTGCATCCTACATCATTTCTTTTTCTGGCTGGTGGAATTCGCGAAACATGTATTTTACTTGGAGCTTAGGGACCTTTTTTTTGTAGTCACGTGACAATCTAGACGTGATTGGTACCACTGCATGAATTTTTAAGAGTAAGAAGTATTTACCGAATGGTGCTTAAAGGAGCTGTGTCACGAATCTAAGCCAAATTTTGACATTCGAAAAATGGCCGCCAAATTGAGTGAAATATAAAAACAACCATTTGAAAACAGTGAAGAAATGATGTAGCAACATTACAATATAAGAAAGCTGTTTTAAAGGCGTATGGAATTGTGCTTTCGAAAGAAAATTTCTCAAGTTTTCAAAAACCTATATTGAAACGGATTGCGATTTGGGTTTTTGAAAAACTGTTAGACATGAACAGTTTTTAAACTTATTCTCGTTTGTTTGTCACCTTTAATTATAACGCCCAGGAATTAGTTTGTAATGAAGCTATGGTTTTGTCAGTTAGATCTATAGCGTTTAGATCTATAGTGTCTCATAGCGAGTATTTGGCTAAACGAAATAATATAGACCAAACTCTACTGTGACATAGTCCCTTTTATGCGTCATCTTTTGTTTGTTCGTAATGAAACGACAAATTATTCGTAAAATAGTGATAGGCAATATTGCTGTAANCAGTGAAGAAATGATGTAGCAACATTACAATATAAGAACGCTGTTTTAAAGGCCTATGGAATTGTGCCTTCGAAAGAAAATTTCTCAAGTTCTCAAAAGCCTATATTGAAACGGATTGCGGTATGGGTTTTTGAAAAACTGTTAGACATGAACAGTTTTTAAACTTAATCTCGTTTGTTTGTCACCTTTAATTATAACGCCAGGAATTTGTTTGTAATGAAGCTATGGTTTTGCCAGTTAGATCTATAGCCTTAAGATCTATAGTGTTTCATAGCGAGTATTTGACTAAACGAAATAATATAGACCAAACTCAACTGTGACACAGTCCCTCTTATGTGTCATCTTTTGTTTGTTCGTAATGAAACGACAAATTACAGTCAAACCTGTATATAACGGTCACCCTTGGGAAATAGCCAGGTGACCGTTATATACAGAGTGACCGCTCTACACAGGTTTCCTTTAAACTCCCCTGGAGGTCAATAAATAGCATTTTTATGTGCAAATAATCACTCAATTTACGTTTTGTTGACAATAACGAGTAACAGCAACGCAATAAACACGATAAAAAATTCCCATAGAATATCCGTGGTGTACTTTTAGGGAGGTGCAGTAAAAGTCTATTGGAAGCTAATGAAGAGTCAATGAACAACGTTTTTAAGTGGAAAATCACTCAATTTACATTTATTGACAGCAATTGTAAACAGAAACGCAATGAATACGACAAAAATGCCCATAAAATGTCCGTGGTGTACTTAAAGGGAGGTGCAGTATACTTTGATCCAAGTTTCCTTGTAGGAAAAGCTTTTGAAGCAACAATATGGATTTCAAGAAGAAAAGAAAGCGGTTATAGTTTTCTGATATTTCGGAACTCGAAGCTTGATTTCATGTAGTATGTCTTTGACTTTACTCACTGTGAAAGCAAGTTCTTCATGTCCATAGTCTTTCAGCCGAGCCGATGCCGAGCGCTGTTTTGGTCCAATTTTGTGTTGTTACAGTTACAGTAACTATTGTTTGAAAGCGTGGGCACTTTGTCATTATTTGTTAATCGTAACCCAATTTCGTGACCGTTATATACAGGTAATAGATAATGAAATTGTGGATTCAAGAAGTCTAAAGGGTGACCGCGTCCGTTATATACAGGTGACCGCTATACGCAGGTCAACTTAACAGTAAATATAAGGGACGATTTTTGGGAAGTTGTTCAGTGACCGTTATACACAGGGTGACCGCTATATACAGGGCCGTTATATACAGGTTTGACTGTATTCGCAAAATAGTGATAGGCAATATTGCTGTAACTGAATTCTGAGAAATTGTTTTTATTTATTCCAGGTAGGACGCTTTTTCAGTCACGAGCAGCTGAG